CCATCTCGTGCCATAGAGGAGACTTAAATTTCTTATAACTCCCACAAAGTAATACTTAATAAGGTGGTTCCGTGGTAGAGTTTGGAGTTGTAAATAGGTGAGGTTTAGCCGGTTGATGCTCCGCACTCCGGCTTTTGATGAACTCCCTACTTGAAAAAAAAAAAAATACTTTCATCGTCGGAATATTTATTAAAATATGCAGTGTTTTCTACAGTCCCACCTGTCTTTTCCATGTTTTTCATTTTCCAGGCTTTCGTAAGTTTTAGCGGCTGGATTAGCAGCGACTAATCTCTCATCGTGAGAAGTTTCCATCAATTCGGTTGTAAGGCTCATTAAACGAGTGAAATTAAAGTATAGACGAAATATTCTCAAGAGTTTAGAAGGAAAATGCTTTACTCTCATTGCAGGTACTAAACGAACAATGACTAGTAAGAATGCTAAGAACAGAAAAATTCTATGTTTCCAATTTGTCTGTAATAATATGTGAAAACGCCATTTTCAACCGCATCTTAAAGTATACTTTTAGCAAACGGTCCCATTAAATCGAAAGCGAAGTCAAGTAGAAGAAGAGAAACGTTAACTTCGACTGCACCGAAGCTAGTATATCCTTCACAGGTGCTTTTCTTTTAGTAAGTATGTGTATGGAAGCTATATGCTATAGTGAGCCGATCTGAATAATTTTTTCGGAGCTTATATCATTACCTTAAGCAGTGATACATGCAAAATTTCGTGAAGATACCACGTCAAATGCGAAAGTTTTCCATATAAGCGCTTGAATCCGATCGTTCGGTTTGTATGGCAGCTATATGCTATAGTGAGCCGATCTGCACATTTTCTTCCGATATAACGTTATTTCTATGAACAATAACACATACAAAATTTCGTAAGGAAATATCGTCAAACGAGGAAGTTCTCTATACAAGAACTTGATTCTGATCATTCAGTTTGTATGGCAGCTATTTGCTATAGTTAAACGATGTGAACAATTTCTTATTGTGCTAACTTTTGTGAAGATACCACCTCAAATGCGAAAGTTTTTCATATAAGCGCTTGAATCCGATCGTTCGGTTTGTATGGCAGCTATATGTTATAGTGGTCTGATATCGGCAGTTCCGACAAATGAGCAGCTTTTTGAAGAGAAAATGACGTTATTAAAATTTGAAAACAATATCTCAAACACTGAAGGACTAGTTCGTATATATACAGATAGACAGACAGAAAGACGAACGGATGGACAGACGGACATGGTTAAATCGACTCACCCCAACATACTGATCATTTATGTATATACTTTATAGGGTCTCCGACGCTTCCTTCTGGGTGTTACAAACTTCGTGACAAACTTAATATTTCCTGTTCAGGGTATAAAAATGAACAGCGAATAGAGTTTAGAGGAAGCGAACAGATGTCCAGCAAGAATTGGTAAACTCTTCGTTCAGAACAATTCGAATTTCATATGTATTGGGTATATATTAAATAATGCAATGAAACGACGATCCAACATAGAAACAATAGCCTAATCTCCCACGTATACAAAAGGCGGATTCTACTAAACAAGAGTCTAACTTAATATAACAGTTAACTGATGTATGTATATGAAATTGTGTAAAGTTGTGTCATTTGCGGTACTAACCCAACTGATATTAAATCCTAACCCAACAAAATCTTAGTAATCTGTTCATATTGCATTTCCCTACCGGAAAGTTCTTTTCTCTACACTTTCCTTGCCTTCATTTTCTTCTTTTGACAAACACACGTGCAGAGGGAATTAAGCAACAATAAGCTAATATTTTTTATGAAAACAAAGCTGTCCGCCAACTCGCCACAAATCAGTCGCCACCAGGTTGTCAGTCAAGAGACTATTTTGCCTGGAAACCCTAGTTATTTAATACTTTTTAATTCTCTTCGCTTTCTGTTGTCCTTTCACCTCTTAAGCAAGCCACTTACACAATCTTTGTTACTGCGGCTAATGTTCGGCGGACAGTGCATAAAAGTTATTTATTTATTTATTATTTTGCTTCTCCGAACATGCTTTTAAATATGTAAAAGTAGTCAGTTCAAAGATACCTGGTTGATTTTATAAGAAGCTTGTCTTTTGTAAAAAACTGAAACTTTTAATATTGGAAAGATAGTCACACTTAAAAAATATTCTAATCGGGAAGTGGAGCTCTTTAAAAACCTTCAAAAGAGGACTTATAAGTCAGAGGAAATCAATCAGACTACTTAGAACTTCAGTATCGCAGACAGCAGCAAATGAAGCGTTTATAAAACTGCACACGACCATTGACTCACAAACCGATACGTTAGATGTATTCGAATGATAATCTTGCAAAGAAGGCAAATTTACTAAGTTCTGTAAAAGGATAAAAATACTGAAGATATTGAAGTAATCCGGTTTCCGAACCACATTGCTTTTACTAGAAATTTTTCAAATTAGTTGACTATTATTGAACTATTTGTTGTGGAAACCTGACTAATAATCTTTCCTTTCATAACTTAATATTATTATAACTTACTGACTTATACATTAAAGCCTAAGTAGAAATTTCATTAATTTAAATATTTTGGTTTATAGTGTTTACGAAATCTGATTCCATTTAGTTATTTCGTTTGTGTTTCAGAGCCGTTGGAAATTAAAACAGAGAGAGAGAGAGAGAGATAAAACATTGTAAACTCTGACGAAAGTCGAGTGGAAGTTTCTAATGGTAATATTTACACCGTCTAAATAGGATGCATATCTTTCATAAGTTCATAGAAAAGTAACAGACCATTGGGAATGAAAGTTTGATTTTCTAATAAAAATGTTTCAACGCATTAGCTCGTTATAAATATATATCCGTATGTATAAAATACTCTATCAAAAATCAAGTGGCTCAGGTGTCCGGTTTTTCTTGACCCCAGTAAATGTGATTTTTATCTAGTGGTAAACGAAACCCTAAGCGAACTAATATTTATCATCGATAATAGCTGTACTATATATTATATTATTTTGTCAAAAAAGTCTTGCGGTATTTTTATTGAATTTTCAATTGTTCATAAAAAAAAATAAAACTCATGCCCAGCTCTTGATCAATGCTACGGCTGCTACTATCCCGGTCTCTTTCGACCAAYTCAGCGATTTTATYGCAATTTTCGASGACAGGCCTTCCGGAGCRTGGCGCATCTTCGACCACCTSTACACCAGAACGAAAACGTTGAAACCATCGTTGTGCRGTGGAAATGGAAACTGTATCGGGTCCATAAACTGCACAMATTTTATTGGCGGCTTGAGATGCATTTTTGCCTTTATCGTAGTAGTAGTACTGTAAAATATGCCGTATTTTCTCTTTATTTTGCTCCATGTTCGCGACGCTATAACTCACGACCGACTTAAAAGAAACGACAATTAATCAAACTCGTGTTAGCGCGTGAAATGAGCTTTCCAAAAAGGTGTAGCATGACACGATGCGACGAATAAAACTAGAACTACGCGCTCTCAGCGCCAACTAGCGAAAATACCGCAAGACTTTTTTGGCAAAATAATATAAAGTTTCCAGTTCTGAAAGTGTTTAATGGCATCGCATGCCTGAACGTATCGGAGAAACTACTAGTGGCGAAGGGCGTAGTTGTTGTTATTATTTTAATATAAAAGGTTTTACAATTAGTTTAGGGAAAAACGATGGGATGAGATTTTTGGACCAAATATAGGACCGAGTTTATTTAGTCTTCTTAAATATGGCTGTAGAAACGAGGTTTCCATTGATGTTTAACAAAGACACTAACTTGGAAGGTCCAAAAACCGATGGACCATATTTGGCACAGGGAATAGAGTCGATTTGACAGTAAAAGTACAAATCAAGAAGAATATGATAGCAAAGTTTTAGTTTCCGTAACTGCAAATGAGATTTAGATTACAATCTCTTCTGTAACATAAAAGTAGAAAACCCCCTCGTTATTCTGTAACCCTCTTTAGTAGACGAAGTAAACCTAAGTACAGATTGTATTGGGCATTCCCTCCTTGGCCTCAAGTGCAATTCTTTAAATAATTCACATGCTTTTCTATATCACACAAAACCGTAATTGTCATGGAGAGTGCGATTTGATATGAAGTGAAGTCTAGATGTATCTGCCATTTCCATTTATAATTTGAAATATAAGATTATTTAACATTCTTATTTATTTTTTATTTATTTTATTTATTATTATTATTTGGCTTTAATTTGAAGTGTAAATGAGCCCAAATCTTTAAATACTAAGATGGCTGTTACTGGTCGCGCTTCTCAAAACTTAATGAAGAGCTTACTCTGTGCAGCGAGATTTTTCTGGTATTAAAGGATCCTGCTGGAAGTAAAAATATCTTCAGGCAATTTGTTTTAGTAAGCCACGATCTGAGGCGATAAAGTATTATATTACAAAAATTTAGAAGTCAATACTGATTTTAAACATACTACAAAACAGCTCTATTTAAACATAATTAGTTTTTTTCCAGTTAAGTATATAATTTATTACACACCAACGCACACAAAACAACCAAACATCCATAGATCCAAATATAATCTCTTAAATCTAATGTCTGTATGCTCGCAAGTGTTTACAAATGTTAGCCTCAAATTGTTTACTTGTCCTTTGACTTTCGCTCACGTGGCTCTTTGCCACAAGCACGCTCCACTATGCCCGGCATTCAAAGGTCGCAAGCGTCTTAAGCTATGCAAGCCAGCAGTAATTAGCTCACAGTTCAATGGAAATTTAAATATTTGTGCAATAATGGTAACTGCAGGAACATTCATATATATTTGTAACCTAGCGTACTAACCTTTAGTTTTTACGCTTTTATCCACAACGCGACATTTTCACATATGCGGACCGAGCGTTGAACATAATTCTTTCACTTATTTAATGTGATTATTCAAATAACGGCAAATTCGTTTTATCGCACCGCAACGCGGTTCCAAAAAAAATCACACTGATCCAACAACAACAAAAAGGACACACTCAAAAAGATGTGGAGGAAAACTTTATACCTTGTTATATCACCACACGCGACGCACACGTTTCCACTTTCACCGTTTTCCGTGCGTCCTTCTGCTGCCGTTACAGCCGCTGCCGCTGTCGGCCGCACTGGCACACCGCAGTCCTTTGTGTCGCCTTTCACTGTTGGCGTGTCAAAGCAGTAGCGCCAACAACAATATGAAACAGCTACAACAACTGGCTTAAAGCAGCTTGCAGCCAGCAGCAGCGCGTAGAATTTTTACGCACACAGGCGCCAGCGCCTGCACGCACACCTGCACAACGAAAGCGAAAGGGGCTTTATTAAATTTTTCTCGCACCTTTGTTGCTTGAAATTAAGCTGAAAGCCATTTTGTTTTTATATTTTGAAACTTTTTCGTTCACTTTGTCTTTTTGTTGTTTTTGTTTCTGTTCTCGGTCGCTGCTCGGTGTTGTTGTTTTGCCGTTTGAAAGTGAAATGTTTGAAATGTGAAAGTTTGCAACGAATTTAAAGCAAAGTTGGAAAACGACGTTCAAGCAAGCTGAGCTGAGTAAGACGAACTGAAATTTTTATGGTCAACATAGCAGACTTGTAGGCAGACAGCCGCGCAGCCAGCACCCGAAGATGGACTTGAGTGAAATTGCACACGAACGGCATTGATTGAGTGGGAGTGCTGAGTGTATATTGGAGTGAAGAAATGAATTGTATGAGCGGAAAGCGGAAAATGAGCAATACTAGTAAACAAACCTTTTGGAAACGCGCTTGACCAATATTCTACTATTTAGAAGGGTTTATAAAACACAAATATCCAGCTTATCCTCAGATTTGCATTTATGAAATGTTAAATTAAAAGAAGACTACTATCTACTACTTAAAAGAAGACTATTATCCACAGTTTTACAACTTTCTATATGTTGGTTCCAAATATGTCCTCCAGATCTTGGTTTACGAACAAGATTCCAGCAAAAATATTGTGCATTTCATGTTGGAGAGGACAGCAGAACGAGATATATTTCCAAACTTCGCGAGCATCCAAACCCACTAGCTAATGCTGTGGTAAATTCCTGCAATCAAATACGCTTAAAAAAGTGATGTACCAGCCTATTAGAGACCAATGTTCTACCAAAAAAGTTCAACCACATTTTTGATCTTCTTTGCTTTTAGTTTTAAGTAGATTTGGATACTTATTGTAATACCACAAATAGCCAAAAACGTGGACCCGTGGCCCGTGTCAGCTGATACGACCTATCTTATGGGCGCACAATGTAAGTGCCGAAGGATGCCGAAGGATGCTGTAGGAATCCACGGTGTTTGGATTTTTGCCGTTGAAACGTGTCAGCTGTTTGCTCTCCCACAACGCAAGGTTGCCAATCTCGATATACTGTAGTAATTATAAAAGTTGTCAGCAATATGTTTTAAATTTTCTTAAAATAACTCAAAATCAGAGTCGAATGCTATTATTTATAAATATATAAACTATTTTTAATAGTTTGTTTTCAGTTTTGATATTTTATATTATAAAAAATTGTAATTGAACACTTAGATGTATACAAAAGTATATATGCGTATTCAGCAATGGCAACATTGTTCAAATGAAAACAAACAAAGGTGGCTGATTTCTGCGTGTTTACCGCGGGCTCAACTTTTAACACATTTTGCTCTCTAAGGAAGGAAAAGGAAGGAAGGCAGTAGCGTTTCATTAGCTTTTACTAAACAGATCCAATAAATAAAGAAATATTGAAAAAAATGTTGTATTGCTGTCGTATAAGTTTTCTCTTTATTCTTTAGTAAAGTATAGGCTCACTAAGCACATTTTCAATGTTTTTTATAGAAAGCCACCACGACTCCTACACCGAATTTACTCCTTTATATGGCCACTGTATTAAATACTACATGGACCTATTCGTCTCAGTCTTCGCGTCCCGTCAATCGCATTCTTTGGGCGACGGTGATATCAGCTTTACAAGTGATATTTTTCTACGAGGACATCAACCACTTAGGCAATGGCATATCATATAAATGCCCTTAAACCTTAATACGTCTGCAGTGGTCGCCATCAACATAGGGGTCTCTCACCCGACGCGTTTGTCCCTTTTTATTGGAGTTTTTCTATGGGGCGCACAACCCTGGGGAGGGAATGTCTCGCCTTATCACTTTAGTTCGCTTTCAAACAGATGTTTGGAACGGATTCTCGTCATGTCAAAGAATCAGTTTAACATTTGTTGCCCTCCGATTGAGGATCTATCAGATGTTAAGATCATTACAACAGATGATCTTAGCAATAAGGCCAAGAAGCGATAATCAGACCTAGGAAAAGGTAAACTATTTCTATAAAAATAAATATAAAGTGTGTGAGAATTAAAGGCACAACAAAAAGTCAAAGAAATGCCAGGTTATCTTTCAGGTATGCAGCCTTCTCGCAAACGATAAAGTGCGAATGGTCGCAAATGCATCGCAGGTAACGCACCTTTACAAATTCTTGTTGTTTTCTTCTATTACGTTGAACACATTGAGTATTCTTATTCATTATTATGGTAGAATATTTTATACATTATGTTTTTATGTTTTGATTAGAATCAATTATAATAATTGCATTTTTATACTCCCACAACATGATGCTATTTACGCACCTAAAACTCAACAAGATATGGAGTTGTATATATGTACATACATAGTATATAAACGACCAGCACAACGAGCGAGTTCATTTGAGTCTATCCGTCCGTTTGTGGAAGCTGTAACATCAGTAAAAATTGAAATATCTTGATGAAATCTTCTAAATATATATTATATATTGCTTGGTAACTAATGCAGATGGAATACAATAATAACAGAATGAAGGGTGTACCCGCTCTCTAATAGGTACATATAAGCTTAAGCTATAGTAATTAAGTCCCCATAAACTGATTTTATTGAAAACTACCAAAAGTATGATAAATTTAGAAATAAGTATACGCATCAAGAACTAATCAATTTATCTGGATAAAACATTGCACGAGTACTGCTGTGAGGTGTGCCTCGTAATGACCAAAAATTGCCTACTTCGGACAATAACTATCCCATGACAAGCTCTACAACTCAAAGCGATATATATCACATTCAATTGACACATAGTATATCCTTGAAAAACTGCTTATATAAGAGGTTCGCTCAAAGGTTGCTAATTAATAGATTTTATAGACCGCAGCAAAAGGAGCGTGGCAGCAGTTCTTGGCTCTGCTTGACAAAAACGATGGCGAAAGTGAATGCCGGTGCATTTCTTTGATTGGAATGCCCTTTTTTTCTGAGATTCTAACAGCAGTCGTCTATCTTGTTATAGTTCGGCAATCTATTAGGCGTTGTGGTTAAGTGGTTAAGTACTTACATACATAGTTATATAATAACTAATTCTCTATTTATAAAGGGAGTGGGTTATAAGAGCATTCTACAAAGCGCCGAGATTTAAATCAAAAATCGAAAGTTATTTTAAATAACTCATGGGAATCTTCAACCACATTATCGAACTCTTGAATTAGGCCTCTTGTTTATGTAATATGGAGTAAATACATAAAAATCCTCACACATTTCTCCTTCATACAGATACATTTTCTACTTCACATACGTCAAGTATGAGCGGTGCTACAAACTTTCATAGTCACTGCTAAATATGATAACATTAAAGGTATACTTTTATTTGACTAAACATACTCAAAGGAAAGTCGAAATTGACAATGATAACTTATATTCAAGAACTCTACCATAACATATTATTTGGCAAACTTTCAGGCTTATGGTTGAAATAGAATAAAACTATTCATACCACCTAAAAGCACTCCAAGCCAATCGCTCGTTGAGTGCCATTGAGTTTCACTCAATACATTTTACTCCAAATGTGACGCAAGCGCATGAATCGTGTACTCAAGTTGTACTCTTTCAGTCTACAATTTCTCTTTCACTAAAGTCCTTACAATTCACACTCAAAACAAAAACATGAATGAACGAAAAATTCACAAGTGTGCGAACTTTTCGTGTATATATGTATGTGAGAGTAAAGCTACTTTGTGCGTCTTTATCATGTATTTTGAATTACTGCAAAGCCAAAGTGCTCTAAGGCGACTTGGTATGGGTGTGGAAACATCACCTTACCTTATAAAAGAAAATATATGAGCACAACAACAATAAAACATTTGTTTACCAAATTCGCTGGAATAAAGCGATGGTGCAAAAGTGGGCGTGTACACGCTTAGCAAGCGTTTTGTGGAATGACAATCAATATCAAAATTAAGCTATACTGAGTTGAAGATTAATACGCGTATGCACACACACAATAACACACTTGCACATACATTATTATGGAATAAATGAATGAAATAAATAAGCATTTAACTAGCTTTCGCTAGATAGAAAGTAGAGAAGGACAAAATGAAAGATGAGTTCGTGGCATGAGCTCGTCATGGTTGAGACTTCACCTTCTTCTTTATTGTCGTAGGCACCGCTTATGCAGTTCTAGCCAAATTTACAATAGCGCTTGTCGTTCTTCCTTTTCGCTGTTTGGCACCAATTGGACATTCCATATGTAGCCAGGTGCTTCTCCACTCCACTTGGTCTTTCCCACGGAGTGGCGGCCTTTCTCTTTCTTTGCTTCCCCCGGCGTGTAATGCCACGAATACTCCCAGAGTTAGAGTGTTCTCATCATATATCACCATTCGGACATTCGGACGACATGACCTAGCTAGCGTACAGCGACTACGTTGAACTGTGTTAATATCATCGTATATCTCGTACAACTCAACTTAGAATGCGATTTTCACCGTTGCCAATGCGCAAAGGATCATAAATCTTCGTAACGCCGACTCTTTAGATGTTATCATCGTTCATGTCTCTGCATCATATAGTAGGACGCGGATGATGAGTGGTCTTGTTCGTCGAGAAAGGACTTTACTTCTCAATTCAAGAGTTATTCTGGGTTTCGATCCTGACATTGATGCTCATATTAATGCTGGTATCAAGATAGACGAAAATTATTTGCGACTTCGAAATTAAGACGAAATTATCTACGACTTTCAAGTTAATGGCTCAGACTTAGATGTCATAATTGCAAAGGAAATAACGTGTTCAGGTTTGACTATGGCTTGTAGATCTTTTGAAGTCCTATAAGAAATGTTTTTAATATTTTTATGAAAGTTATCAATTTCAACTAAGTATTTAACTTAAGCTGAGCGACTTCGACCAAGATCCAGATGAAAGACATACTTAGAATACATAACTGCTTTTGTATAAAGACCTCTGGCTTTAGGTTCAAGGTAAGCGCCC